GAACTGGCCCATGGGTGGGTTTGGTTAAGTCCGGTTTTTGTGGTCAAATTTTTAAGTGCCAAAAATTCATAAAAAATATTAAAAATTTTATAAAAAAATATATATTTGTAATATATTTTTATATGTTTTTTTTTATTATTTGGCAAAATTTGAAAAGTATTTTGGCCATGAATACTTACATTTTTTTATCTTTTTTAGATTATTTCTAAAAAAAACCCTAATCACCAATTGATTTTTTTAAATCTATTTGTTCACTGCATTTTTAGATGTGTTCTGTTTAATTTTACTCTTAACATATTTTTTGGTTTTTTTTTTTTTGCCTTGTTGGTATCTGCCGTGGACCGATTACTCAAACACCGGGATCCACCCATGTACGGGTCCGGGAACCATGTCCGGGTTCGGTTCCCGGGTCGTGGTTTCTAGAGAGAGGACCCTTAGCACGTCTCTCCTAGAGAGAGAGAGAGAGAGAGAGGACCCTTGTCACGTCTCTCCTCCTTGGTGGGTTGTGTAAATGAGTTTTTGACATGCTTGTTAGGCTAAGGTTTACACGTCTCTGCTGTTGGGTCATGCAAATGACATTTTTACGTTTTGTTATGCTAAAAGCTCTCTTCCTTCCTCCTTTTTACCATATGTGAGAGAGATGTAGTTGTGACATTTTTGTTATGAGAAAGAGAGCGAGAAGATTTTTGTTATCTTTTTGTTATGGTAAGGTTTAGAAGATTTCCCTTCCCCTCTGCACAAAGTTCCCAAGCTTTTTCCATCTCTCTCTCTCTCTCTCTAAGACAACACACAACAACGCAGAGAGACAAGGATCACAGTGCATGCTTCGACCTTTTCTTGCCTCTCACTTTATTTATGTCTCTTTGAGTACTGCAACTTTAGAAGCACGAGACGAATAATGGCCCTTTCCCCACCTTCTTTTCTTCGTTTTCAAGCAAAATGTAACAAATACCATTGAAGGAGTCGGCAAAAGGATTCCTAAAGGGCCCCTATCTTTTTGAGAGAGATTTTTTTATTAAAAAATATATAATAAGATCATTTGTTTTTACTTTCAACTGAGAGAGTCTACTCCAGATAGAACTCATTTGTCATCCAAACATGCCAATAGAATAATTTTCAATTTACAAAGCCAAATCATGGCGTGGGGGATACACATTATACATTTTGCAGGGAAAGGATATTCATACGCGTGATTGTATACGAAGAGACCATTTATCTTTTGTACATGGAGATGACAATTATTCGTACTTATTAGTGCTATACGTGGAAGCTCTATACCCGATGGTTTGATTTTTGACAAATAAAGTACGAGAAAAGTAGAACCAACAATAAGCAAGAAAAAATAATGCATAAAGAAATAACATAAAATAGAACACCAGAATTTACGTGGTTCATCACATATGTGACTACATCCATGGGCACCGAAAACTAAAATTCACTATACCAATTAAATTTACATTATAAATTTTGGAACATAGAGTTACCTCTCTAACCCTCGACAAAACCCAATCGAGCAAACCATTTTAAGTCACTCTCCCGACCAACACCACATGTCGTTTTTCTTTCGCGTTACTTCAGACAACCATTACCAATAATACAAGATAGAGATGTGAGAACAACGAAAAATTCAATTTCTATTTAGCTAAAAGGGAAAACTACTCAAAATCTCCATAAGAACCGCTTCTCTATAAGAAACCAGCTTCTCAATGTTTCTCTCCATGACTCTTTTCTCTCTAAGGGAATCTCTATGTAGAGGAAGTCACCAAGCCACATTTCCCATATGGTGATCCAAATAAGGCTCACCAATTCATTCAAGAGTCATAATCTTTTTGGATTTATATTTCCTGTAGTAAACTTATCAATATCAATCTCAATCCCACATGAGATTTTAGTAAACTTATCAATATCAATCTCAAGCCCACACGAGATTTCCTTTATGTGGGTGATTTTGGATAGTATCAAATCCAACAATTAAAAATTAAATTGGATGGCTTGGGGTGACTTACAAAGTTAGAGAATTTTTTCTTTCTGGAACTTTGTGTCTATTCAATGAGACTCTTACAACCACCTCTCAAGGGACAAGAATGATTCTGACCTCCATGTATAAAAAATAAATGACATTCCCACTCAAACCCATTCTTACATGGTGTATGGTAGCTTTCATCGTCGTTTTAGACTCTTAATTGATGTTGTGCGGAGATCAACCATGTCCAATTGATCAATAGATCTCGACCCTCTGATTTGTCAAATGGATGATGAATACCCATGTTGGACCTCATACGATACCTGGTGTATACTTTTTTACTTTTTGGGAAAATTTCATTAAAGTATTTAAATTATCTTGCAAGATCATTAAGAGGTTTTCGAAGTATCTTATCGATAAACATGGGTTGACTTTTAATGTTTATCACAAAAGTACCTCCACAAAAAATTTTAAAAAGAAAATTATGAATTTCGCCCTATTTATTATTGGGAATCTTGAATAAGTTGTGCCATTTTGGCCATTACTCGATCTAAATAATAGAAATACCTTGGGTTATTCAAGGTTGGAAAAATGGAATTATAAAATTATCAAAATACTTACGAAGTTTAGTACACATGTGCAATGCGCGCGCTCAACTCAACGCGTGCGATTCACATGAAAACTATGTCGTTTTTTGCGCACAATTATGGTGGCTTGTGCGCAATTGTGCACCCTACTATTTGCCACCACGTTCCCCCAAACACATGCGTATGAAGTGCCATCAAATTTCTTTTCGTACGATATTTAGTGCACATGCGCACCGCTCACGCTCAACTCAATGCGTGCGATTTGAGCAAAAATCGTGCCGGTTTTTTGTGCGCAATTATGGTGGCTTGTGCAGAATTGTGCACCCTACTATTTGTCCCACGTTCCGTTCAGAGTTAGTAATATGGAATCATATCTATTTTCATCATTTAACAGTTACATTATACCCTAAAAAAGAAGAATCATAATTATTATTTGAGCCTTATCCCAACCATTTATGATCAGTTACTTGAATCTGCTATATTATTTCAAGATTTATGAAATCGATGTGGCAAAAGTTTTATATTGCGTGCACACCTAACATAACCCTCCTCCTTTTTATAGGCTTAGGACCGGCATAATAGGCTTCAGACCGGTCATGGTAGAGTTCCCTGAAAAACAAGGGTATGTTTATGATTTGATTCAAGCTACTTAAATGAGCCAATGCCATTAATACCCCTGATTGTTCAGGATTTCCTACCAACTGTCCGACAATAGTCACAACAAAGACTAAGGATACTAAAAAGTTCAAGAAAAAAATTTATATAAAGATGCTACCTTATAATGTAGAACTACAGATGCCCTTCAAAAATCCATCGGAAAAGGCAGTTTTAATGTAGAAAAGCCCTTTGATTGATCATCTCGACATCGAGATGTATGACTGTGAAAAATAAAAAGATTTTAAGTCTCAGAAATAGTGCATTTTACAACATATTATCTACACCGTCCATTTTCAAGATTTTCATATGTTTATAGATCTACTTGATTTTAACTATTTTTTAAATTTAAAATTTTATAATTAGATGTAAAAATAGCTTTTGAGATAATCCTAAGAACATTTTACATCAAAATTATATACCATGATAAAATTTGAAGGTTGACCTTACCTGTACACCTACAGATGCATCCGTATGGAAACTGCACCCAAAGTTCAATTGTATGAAAAATGAAATTGGAAAAGCAAACCTCGCAACCATAAATGGTATCTTTTGACCCTTTTATATAAAGTGTGAACCTTAATCAATCAAAGTAAGGCGCTCAGCTAAACCCTACCAAAAGATGCAGTTCTAGTGTTGAAGATCTGAAAATCTATTTTGCTCTCAATTATGAAATTTAAAGATAGAAAAATGATTAGATCGAGTAGATCTATGAACATTTAAAAATCATGAAAATTGAGATTAAATAATATGTTACAAGATGCATTACTTGTAAGAGTTAACATTCTTTTTTGTAATTTCCATGCATCTTATGGTTGAGTTGATCAATTAGAGGGTTTTCTATATCATAACAACTTTTCTTTTTTCTAGTAGATTTTAAGTTGCACCTTACTTTTACTTTTATATGATAAGGCTTAAGCTTTGTATTTTGACCAACTTCAATTTATTAGATTTCACATCCAATAGTTAAAAATAATTGTGAACTTTGTATTAAAGAGTAAATATACAACCTCAAAACAAATATATTCTTGTGGAGGCATACAAATTAAATAGTACAGTTTGTATAGAGCCAAGGCTTTGAACTATCAAAATAAAGCCCACCTGCAAATAGTATCGAAAAAGATAACTTCAATATTGAAAATCTTTAGGATAGCTTCCAAATATATTTTTATCGTTAATTATAAATTTTAAAGCTTAAAAAATAGTATAGATGGAGAAGATATATGAAAACGTCAAAATCTTGAAAAATTGACAGTACAAAAATGAGTGAGGAAATGCCCTATTTTCAAAACTCGATCATTTGTAATTGCGTATGGAAGAGAATGAAGGAAGCCCACCACGTCCTTCAATCTCGCTATCTACCAAACTATTCTCCATTCCTTTCTTCCTCATACAACAACGACACTTCCCCTTTGTTCTCCAATCTCTTTCTCTCTCTCTGCAACTATTCATTCCTCATATAACGAGATTTCTGCCTCCTTCCCCTCTCTCTCTCTCTCTCTCTCTCTCTCTCTCTCTCTCT